TGATTGCAGGACTTCGCTGATATGAACGTCTAATGAACATTCGGGACGTTTAAACTTTGTCTAGACGACTAGTGAGCTGCTCGAACATATCAGCTCCTTTCAAAAGAACTTTTCAACAGTTCCTATGGTAGGAGTTGATATGGAACTGTCATACCCCTAGTAGTAATATCCCAAAAAGTGAGTGTTCGCACTTCCAACTAGAAATGAGTTACCTACCAATTTCGAGAGTATTGAAAGAGTTTCTTTCGATATATAATGTGGACCGCAATCTGAGTTCTTTCATGGTGAAAAAGTACTATCGTGGACTATGCTGAAAAGGTCATTGTTAACAGTAATATTCCAGAACTGTGGGTGTTCGCAGTGTACATAACAATTGAGTAATAGATAGTTTTGTGCACCGTTTAAAGCTGCGCGAATGGTATATAAGACTTTTCTTCAAACTTGTTGCATTCTGAGAAAAGTACGAAAAACACATCGGGATGGGTTGCAAAGCTATTAGTCGAAGCAGACTGATTTTCTCATAGCTATGAGGTCCGAAGGGAAACCAATGGTCTAGAACCCCATAAAATAATATGCTCTTCCATTCTAGATACCTTTCGAGACGATCTGAAATGGGGTCGATCCTCGTTCTTATTGCATCCATCCTTTTACATTTGACCGTTTTCAATTTATAAAAAGGCATGAGCCTCACCTAATGCTTTTCCCTAGTTACACCACTGATCTTACTAGAGAAAACGCATATAAATTCTCACCTTTTCTGAAGCAAAGAGCACAAAGGGCGCCTTATAGGCTGAGAAATTTTATTTCTTCTACTAGAAACCATTATCACATATACCTCTGCTTTTTATTAATAACCAAAAATATGGGAAACGTTCATTTCGTAAAGCATCTACCCATTTAGGCTGCTTAGTCTCGAGAGACCAACGACTTGACAAAGAAATAGAGTCTCGACTGACAAAAGCAGCAACGGCATTCAACATGCTAAGAAATGTGTAATGGTATCGGAAAACAATCTCCATCGATGCAAAACTCAGAATATTCCGCGATTGTGTGCTGCCAGTTCTATTATATGGCAGTGAAGTATGGAATCTGACAGTCGCTCTGGAGAATAGAATCAACATTCTATATGAAGTGCCTGAGAACGGTGCTAGGTTTAAACTTGGGAGATCGTGTTTCAAACCAAAGGATCTTACTGTTATCTGGCCAGCCCACAATTGAAAATATAATGAGAAGGAATAGGTTAAGATGGTTTGGACACACAACAGGATGGAGAATGAGAATAATGAAGCATCATTGGTGAAGAAAATAATGTTATCTTACCTCCCGGAAGACAAACGTCCTGGTAACATTGGCATTCGGAAACGGTGGGAGGCTAAAATTATGGATAATCTTGAGAAGTTGGAGATTAGAAACCGGAGAAGGGAAATAAGAGACAGAGAAATGTGGCGTGAGCTAATCAACAAACGTGTGAAGGTTATCTCTGTACAAAAAAACATCAAAGAAATAATTCATGAACTTAAAGATCGTGCAGAGAGGAGGAGAGTAGAAGAATCAGCTAAGGATCGTTGAGCAGGACAACGGAAGGTAACGGAAGTGTTAGTGAAAGATGCAAACAATACCTACACTTGTCCAAATTGTGACAGATCTTTCAAGCCGCGCGGTATCACAGGACATGTGAAGTCGTGTGCAAAAGATTGGTGTAAGAAAAACAACATTAAAATTGGAAAGAAATGATGTGAAAACAAATTATGTTTAGTAATACTGGTGAAATGAAGAATATCATCTAAACCAAGTATACTTGGAGGGTGATATTCGGATGAAAAGCATAATGCGATGCTTTACGAACGAACAGGGCAGAAGCTGAATGAACACTTCTTTCATTTGTTATGTTGTCTTACCCTATACCAAAAGGTAATGGATCTAACTAACTAACTGACATTAATCTTTTAGAATATCAAAATCTTTTTGGCAAAGATGATGTTAAAACAAAACTTGTTCTTATCCAAGGTGTTCTACATTCAGTTTACCATTTACCAAGTATTTTACTGTGTGGATTTCTACGTCATCATGACCCTCGTTCTCTTTTGTTTAAAAGGAATATATTCAAAATCTTGTCAGCAAGTTGTGAATGAAGTTAATGACATTTTGAATTTAATTTAAATTAGTTTTAACACATGCTGTTACGATATTACACACACCAAGTATTTTTAAATAAATAACAACTGATCCACCAATTAGTTTTCGCTTAATAATGAGTGGTGATATTACTGTTTCGAATGGATTAGCAAATGCACTCTTACGTACAGAGTACCAATAATAAATATGTTTATGAGCTCTTTGGTTCATTATTTGCTTTTAATTTTACAGATTCAAATTGTCTTTTCTTCTATTCAGTTTCTAGTGTTGAACAACTACTTTCTTTGCGAGCTACATTTATAACATATTGATACAATTAAAAATGTTTCATATTTTTATTCGATATGAAGTGATAAAAAAGTTGGAATTAGATTTGATATTATTAAAGACGTGTGAGAGAGAAGCGTTAATTCCAAGGTTTGTGAAACTCAAACTGGCAAATCAAAAACAGAACAAATAGAAGAACTTTACAAATTAGAGTTTGTTCGTAGATCACCAACTTCAAGAAAAAAAGCTACTTCTTTTCAGAAACAGCACGACTTCCCATTACATGATTCTTATCAAGAAACTGCCTGAGAGATAGTTTAGTCAAGAAACTTTGAAAAAAAGTAAGTAAATCGAATCGAGAATTAGTTCTTAGAATTCTTCAAAGAAAATGTGTAAAGCCTGATTGTTGAAGGAATTATTATCTGAAGTTCAGCAAGTGGAGCAGCATGTAGATGAAAGGGAGGGGGAAAAAAATGTGTTTTTGAAACAACGACAAGAAGAAAGTATATGAGAGGGGATTGAAATTGAAAGCAACATCTTTCTTCTACATGCTACTCATTTCTTCTTTGCTCTTTCCTTGGACATAATCATTCTTGCATGAAGAAAAGAACAAAAAACCCATGTGCGACTTAGACACTCACAACACTCATTCTTTGACATTGACGTTCACATTTACACCAGAATAGAATAATGTCCAACAATCCATGGCTTCAAATCTTCCATTCACGTCCCTCAGCTAAGTACCAAGTGTTCATATTTCCTGGTGCAGGATCTGCAGGTAATACTACCTTTTCTCGTTTGACAAGTCAGATGATTTGAAGCAGCTAAGACTAAGCAGCGAATTCTCGTATATCACAATACATCAACCCTCATTCTTCTATTTACCTTCCACAGGTTACGTCTATCAAACATGGGACACAAACTTTCCTATCTATGAATTTGCCTTAGTAGAATATCCGGGTCGTTTTAGTCGTTTCGGTGAAGAACCATTTCGTACGTTAAAGGAATATATTCAACAATTAGATAAGTGGCTAGTGCCGTCGATTCGAAAGCCATGTGTATTTATTGGTCACAGGTGTGAGCTTTCGTACTGCCAAGAGACTAATATGCATTTCTCGTTCTTTATGTGCTTTTAGCCTAGGAACTGCAATTAGTTTTGCACTAGCTAAACATATGGTTGATATGAAAAAGAAAAATGAGATGATTAAGTTAATGGTAATGTTAGGAAGAGGCCCGCCGCATTTAAAAGGTGTGTGGTAGAAGCTAAACGTCAACATACATCTATATAGTAGTAATTTGTCTTTATATCATTAAGACCCTGTCGAGTCATTCTTAACTATGACTGATGCTGAAATTGCAGCTGAGTTAAAGAAAATGTCAGGTGAGTGTGTATTTTGATAGAATGTGTTCTTGTTCTGAACAAATTTACTGTATCATTCAGATCCCAGTACAACTACTATCTATGATGATCCTGATATCATGCAAATGATTATACCTATGTTAAAAGCTGATTCATTGGTGAGTCTGACAACTTAGAAACTTAGATCTAAAGAGAACTCATAAAATTTTCACAGGTCGCCGATGAATTACAACCAAAAACTCTGTTAGATATACCGATTATTGTTTATGGTGGTGACAAAGAAGAAAATGTGGATGAAGCGCTTTTGAAGAGGTTTGTGCGATAAAGACCAGACCATATCTGAGATTGCTAATGAAATAAATTCGCAAGTACACACACATTTCGAATGCTGACTTTTTCTTTGGTTGTTCGGTTTCAAGAGCTACGTAGTGATCGATCGACAGTCGATCTCTAAAGCTAATAATCTAAATTCATTCTCTCTCTAATTCTAGGTGGGCTGAATTAACAACTGTCGAAGATTTTTTTCGTGTACGTATGTTTCATGGGCATCATATGTTTCATTCTGAGTGTGGTGAAAATGTAGTGAAATGTTTAAAAGAAGATCTGACGAATATAGTGGAGAAGCCACAGTAATACAAAGCACCTACACTTGCTGCATTTTTATGAGTTCAAATGAGTCAAGTGGGGATTTTTTTGAAATAAAGGCTGTGAACATAGAGTTCGACATGACTATGACCAGCAAATAAAAAAAAAACAAAAAAACAAGGAACTTTTTGCCTTTTGAATAAAAACTGAGAAATCCTGTGAATAATTGTTCTCAAAGATCGGCTAGTTCAAACAGCCCTTTTGAAAATGGTTCTTCGGTACTTTCATGTTTTGATGTAGAGACGAAATCACCTATTTAACTAGTTACAGCGTTGAAGATATGTCCGGCAACATTAATGATGAAAAACAAAAAGTAGCTGCACTCTGATGAATAACAAGACATTGAATCAAAAATCTCAAATGCTTGTGCTGGTAAACGAAATTCGAAAACAATGTCACAGTCGTACTTTAATATTTACAAAATAAGGATTCTATTGTTATATTATCGAAAGCAAACTATAAGTGTTTGTGCTCTAAACGAGTGATTAATATTGGAATTTGAGAAATTTTGACGAGTTCGCGATCATGTTGTTATGTAGTTAGCAAGAAAATGTGGAAAGTTCTGATAAAAGCAAAAACAGAAATCAAAAAGAAATATACTTTCAGGCAATTCGGATCTGATTAAGAGTGTAAATCTGATCATGTAGTTATCATGTAACCGTTGATAGTGTGGTAAAATTGTAAGGTCTTTTTGATTTAGCAGTTGTTTTTCGCGATGTGTAATGACTCAACTCGTCGCACCGTTTCATTTTGATTTTCTTGTGAGCGACTTATTATCGGTTGTTTCCATTTACTGTCGTTAAAGTGTGTTACTAGGTATGTAAATCTTCGACACGATCGCTAGGCACCGAACAGTTTGTTCTTGATAGATTTACTACTCAAATTGAAGATAGAAGAAATATTCAGTTACAAGATTCTATGCCACTGTAGTGTTTTTCATATTTCTTCTGTTTTCTTTTGCAGGCTTTGATTCCTTGGATCTTAAAGGTTTTCGACCATACGCTCTCTGATGATTTCCATGCGATTTCCGCACTCTTACATATCACAGAAAGAAAGTACGAGGCTGTATGAAGAATGAATACTATCGGTTCTCTACACAAGTCATATGTATCCGATGTGGGTTAATTGGTAGTAAAATGATGAAGTTAACTTGTATAAGCGCTAAATCGAAATATTTACGCTGTCATCAGTAGCTTTCCCTCATATCTATGGAAAAGCCGATGGTTGCTGGATCCGAATCTTGTAACCATGCATGTTTTAAGTGCACATTATCTGCTATCAAATAAGGAAAAACTAAAATTTTTAGAATTTTATGTTCGGCTATTGTAGAAGATCTTCTAAGAACCTTTGACCTTCAACCAAAAACCCTCGAAAAATCTTCAGATTTTCTGGCTCTTACAAAACAGATTTTAAATGTCTAAAAGTACGCTCTGTTGGATGAGTTTATATAAAATATTAAATGATAACAGTAAATATTTTTAATTTCAATGTTCCCGAAAGTCTTGAGTTCGAAACCTCAGTTTTTGAGAAGTTCAGAATATCAAGATATACTCTATTTTTGGAATGCTGCATGCCAAAACCTCAATAGATTTTCAATTTTATGTAAGAATCATTTATTTTACACAATCGTGCTACATTCGGAGAGAGAAACTTGTCTGAAAATTTATTCTTTTAAACATGTTAAGGTTTCTTCATTCATGTCTTGATCGTGAAGAATATCGATTCTTTTTGCATTTCATGAAGCGAATGACTCTGTATACGCGCACAGATATTGTTTATATACTGGATGATAACTAATACATTGTGCAAATTGACTGATACTAACATAACCAAGCTCACAATAGTCTATTTGTGACCACAAATCAGATAAATTAATGTCGACGTTATAAAATTTGTTCAATTGCTCTAGTAGTTTTTCACCACATAATCGTGACACTCTTCCTTGATTTTTGCAACAATTTTGATTTATAATATAGCTTATTTTATAATATGGTATTGCATGTTGATTTAGTATAATTATAGCAATCAGAAACTGCTCAAATGATAACTTTCCCGAACCATGACAATCCAGCGTTGAAAAGGCATGATCAGTCAATCGATTCGAGCCTGAAGCATATTGATATAAACGTTGAAATTCATGTTTATTTATTTTCTTGTCCCTATCCATGTTTTGTCTATATATATCATATAATTGATAAACTGCGTGTTGTGGCAAACTGGTTAATTGTTCATAGTGATCCAGATCCCACCGATCAAACGACAGATCATTACCCATGGTTTGGATAATTGGTTGTTCAAACTAGGTAAAACCGACAAACTTTTGGAGGAAAACGATGCTAGTTTTCTTTTTGTTGGAACAGTGTTGTGCTGCACAAGCAACTAGTGTGCTAGATTTTAGCTTAATCCTTGCTTATAAACTTGTTTCACATCCTCTATCGCGATAATGAATATTTTTCTATTTCTTCAACATACGTAACGTTAAATATAGTGCAGTAAGCCGGTCGTTTCTTCAGCGTTTTCCTCGTCATTCTTATTTCTCTTTCGAAAACGCACCACGTTTACATCAACTTTATCCCATTAGTTTAAGAGTAACAGAAGTACTATAACTCGCACTCCTGTTGATGAAGACCGCTTTCACAAGATTTTAAAGCTACGGCATGATAGTCTTCTAAACTTCTGGCGATTCTATTTCCGAGCAGAACAGACCTTTTGTGGGCGTTTTCATCCCTTCTTAGTGAAACACTTTCATGAGCTGGTGCCGTCAGATTAGATTCTATATGTGCACAGCTACAAAAATCTCTACCGGACAAAAGGTTCCAAACTGTTAAGCACGTTCTCAGGAAAGTTTTTAAAAGAACCATCTTTACCCCGTAAAATCATGTCCACACAAGACAACAAGGTATGAATTCCACACATCTTTTCTAGCTCTAATCGATGAAGTGGTGCGTGTTGAATGATAAGAAGAAAACAAATTTTAAAGATCATTTTTCTCGTTTTTAAAGTTTGAGTGTAAGCTGCACCATTCCATGAGGTTGCAGGATGTGAGACGACAGATACTGCGCGTTTCCGAAAATTCTCCCTCATTTTTCCTTTGATTCCCATATAAAACCAAACATTGCGACGGTGATCAGACTATTCAATTTTCTATGTATCGTGTCTTACAAAGAAAGATAAGTATATAAAATATAAAAACGTATGTGAGTTTTATTATTTTCGCCGGCAGCCGAGTAAACATGTACATATGGAGAGAGAGTTGTCAGACAAAACAGACGTTAACTTAGCAATCTTTACGTTTGAATCAACCGCTATCCTCTCTCTTGACTGAATCGATCGAAAACGCATTGTTCTCGCTTAGCAAAGCGTTCTTACTGAATGCATTCGAACGCGTTCCTGAAGTCGAAGTCCTCCTTAATTAGAAACGCGTGCATGATAACCGGCACCAAGGCGCCCTAAGACTTTAAGAACGCGTTATTTTTGAACTACTCAAAGAATGCGTTCTCATAGTTTAGAACACAGCCACCATTGAACGCGCATTGACAAGAAACGCGCTCGACTACGCTCCGTTTTGGAAAACGCGTTTTTAGTCAATAAAAAGTGTTTCACCTATTCAAGAATGTGTTTTTGACTGTTCTTTTTCACTCAAGCCCGAATACTTGTGCTTCAAATATGAGCTCTTAATCAATTTCCTAGATTGGCGTATAAACATCACATGTTTCACTTTTATACAGTTCTATACTTTTCTGTTGATTATAGAGCTTTTATGATAAGTTGCAGAACTTTTGAAGAAAGTGAGTCCTGGTGGGAAAGTTTTCAGAATCTTTCTAGATATGTTAACTCCAACGTCGATTGAGCAACTTTTACGCTTAAACGACTACACCTCTCGTGCAATGCCTCTTAATCTGTAATCAATCCACTCAAATCTGTTTTATATACTTTTAATACTTTCGGCGCGGCATTTAATGCTGTACAAACCTTGAATGAACCGTTATAATGAAACTCTCAGATTTTAAATAAATTTTCCTTCCATATAATCATTTAATATCGGACTGGAAGAGGAACACGGAAAATACGAGACGATGCCGAGTAAAATCTTGTTCAAAAAATAAAACAAAATTTAATTTCTCTTTCAGAAATTCATAGGATGGAAACTGAACATCGATGCATCTGTGACAGACTCTGCTACTTCGTTGGTTTCATTCTATAAATAAAGTAAAGTAGAGACATTGCATATATGGTCTTTGAGGATGACTGAATATTTTTTGCTGTTTATTCAACCATGACTAAGCATGGGTATTGATCTACTTTCTATAGTATATTTCCATGCACTTTGATGATAATAATAGCCTTTATGAATACTTTACTTTAAAGAGATACCCAACGTATGCAAGTTCATTCTCTTACTTTACTTCATAATACAAGAGAAAGTTTGATTCAACGCTTTCCAACATAGATTATTTCTAAATGTTGAAATACAATTCCATCGACAGTACTCGAAGTTACAGTGATGTAAGCACGGTGTGAACAGAAGGTCAGTACTATTGATAAAACTGTGAATCTATTCCCACTAGTAGCTATCCTTCATCCTTAAGTTCATCTTATGTAGTAATATCGTATCAATAACCGCTTGCAATTATAACTGGGTCTATTGTATCGTCTATGGAACGTATTGAATTGTAGCGTTTCCTTGTTTTCCTTTGTGTTTCATTGTATTGGAAAGAATATTTCGGTGATATGCCTTTTCTTGCACCTTATATGTCATACTCATGAACACATACACGCTTCAGTAGGGTAGAATTGAAAAGTACCAGTACTCAAAGTACTGGTGAGTACTGATACTGGTACTGCACTGGTTGCTGCTCGTACTAGTGAGTAGTAGTCAGTTGCTAGTGCCGTGAGTTTTTTTATTCGAATATTTCACAAGCTGATAATATAAGCATGTTTTTTATCGACACTCGTATCATGTCGGAAAGAAAAAAGAACAACTGAACTATGTGAAAGAGCATGGTCGAAAACGCTGTGTTAAATTAATTCCAGCTTTGAATACACTTGAATACAAACAATTCCAAAACTTGATGCTTTTCCAAGCAATGATAAAATACGGGACCATGACTTTTAGAGAAGTTATACATAACTAAAGATTAAGCCAAGCCAAATTATAAATTTTGTGCCATGAATGTCTTTAACTTATTTACTATTGCTAGTAGTCGAGTGCTAGAATATCGCTGAATCGGAGATGTTTCGCGATCGGTTCAAGGTATAATTTGAATCATTTTTGTTTTTATTTAAAGTATCTTTAATTTTAAATTTGAAAACTGAGCTTTAGTATAGATTACAGTGTTGTACAATCGCGTTTACTGGAGATTCTAATCGAATAATTTCCACGAAGGCTTGGGCAAGTTCGAGTCCGGACTTGAACTCACGTCTGGATTACTATGTTTTTTGGGTGGACTCGGACTTGGAGTCGCACTTGAGGGTTTGTATTTTCAATCTGATCCATTGCATTTTAATGAAAATACAAATGGAAATTTTCACTCTTCCAGTACTATGGGATAAAACGCAAATGTATACTCTCCTAAAAAGTTATGATTGCCACAGCAGGTTGTTTAAGTGGATAATAAGTTATTATTTATTACTGTTATTTAGTTATTTTCTGTTATTAATAATAACAGTCCGAATTGAATTGTATACTAAAAAATTGAACGTATGACTTTATGCTTAACATCCAAATATATAGAAACGAAGAAAATCATGATATTTTACTTTTTTCCTAAGCACGAAAAAGTAAGCTAGTAGCGCCCGCTGCAGTTAGCTATAAACAATGTAAAAATATTGAAGCAGGTTAGCGGGTGCTGCAGCTAGCTACACTAGTTTTCATACCCGTTGCAGCCAACTGCATAAACGTACACACCATAGAGTGGCCACTATAGTGGCTGATTAGATACCTGCTGCAGTTAGTTACACATTGTCGATGAAAGATTAATACGGTAAATAACTGGTTGCAGCTAGCTTTTTCTTAGTACTTTCAAAGAGAAACATAAGCTTGCTACAACAGCCGCTGTGGCGCCCGTTGCATCGGATCGTAACAAATAATAGATCAAGAGCGTAGAAAAATTAAAATGAAACTCGATAGAGCTAGCTGCAACGCCCGTTTTAACGCTACTTGAAATCTAGCATCTACTCTGACTAGCTACAGCGGTCTGCTTAGCGACCGTTTCAGCTAGCTGTTATAATATACACGTTACAAAAAATGCCCTAGTTGAAGCGGCCGCTAAATTGGGCGCTGCAACTACTTTGGCAGTGGAGGATAATGGATGCATTATTCAAACTAGTTTGACTAGCTGCAACGCCCAATTTAGCACCTGCTGCAATTAGTCGTTAATACTAGCTGCAACAACCGCTAAATTGGACTTAAATTGACTTAAATAGGACTACATTGAATCCCGATGTGTATCTGTTGAGGGTTAAAAATTCAAATTGCAACTACACAGTAAATGTTTTCTTTGTTGGATTTCACCGATGTTAATTTTAACAAGCATATTAACCAGTTCATAATCAAGTATTGTCCAAAGAGTAGAAGAAGCACAAAATACATGCACCAAAAAGTTAACAAAAGCATTAAAAAAGAATAAAAAGGAGCCTAGAGCTCTAGCTAGTGACGGTATTACCAAAAAGGCAATCGATATCGAATGCGACGATAACATCACGCTTGGGCTTGTGTTGAATGTGTTCCCTAGAGGAACTGACACTCGCACTGCCCTGCAATACTAGTAGGTTGGGACTAATTTGCCTGTGCTCATGAAATCCCTCTATATCTACTGTACTGAACAGAAACAACACTCGCTACACCGATAAGCCGTTAGCGACACCGAAATTATTATGCCGAGACTGCCACTAAAACGATAATCACTTTTTTCTTTTCTCTTCTGTATTGAAAAATAGAACTGCGAAGAAACAAGTGAATAACTTATCGTCCTACCACTCTCGACTGATATCTGAGGCATTGCAGAACATATCAATAGACATTTCGATTCAGAATATTTTTCTGTTACTATACTGAAGTGTTCAGCTCCGATCTTGCTAATTTATTTATACAGCGATCCTTTCTGCGTACAACTATTTTATTCGTTTCGCATGCTAACCAATAGAAATTTAAGATACCTGTCCTGCATAAAATTCAACGTAGAACGCTTTTTCTTTCTCTTATCGAAAATAATGTGAAAAACTGAAACAAGGTAACGCTCGTCTGCACTTGCCATTCAAAATAATGCTCTCGCTACCCTTCGGTCGGCGTTTACAGCCAGTGTGGCTAAGAAACGCTGTGAAATTCACTAATTCCACGTCCACGGAAAAACGGTCTTATGCAATATAAAGCTAAAAGGTTTTCTGGACACCGTCTGCACATTCTCAGGAGGTTGGAAGTATATCAAACCGATTCGCTATGATAGATTATCTGTACACTGTAAGTTTCGATGCTATAACAGTGACTGCTATCTGGTGACATCTACTTCCAGCCTACAGAAAACGTTTGCTTAGCTTTTTTTCTTTGCATCAGTAGCTTTTTCAGATCATCTCGGTGAATATTTTCTCTCGCGTGGTAAAAAGAAATGTTTTATGCTTGTCGCTTATCATTGGCTTATCCATAGAATAGCTGACAGCCATTTTCACGTCTTTTGCGCACACACTGTAAATTCAATCAGCCACTGAAATAACTGAAAGTCAGCCACTTTACCGACAGGCTTTTCGTCAGTAAGGTGGCTGACATCTGTTCTCCAATCGATGACTTGGAAGCCATTCGGGTAACACTTTTCAGCCAGATAAGTGGCCGACACCAGTTTGATTCGTCCAAATTTCAACCAGTGGTAGAAGGAAGCCTGTTTCATGGCTAGCACAAGCTGTGCGAACGCTCAGTCACACAAGCGTCTGTTATTCCTAAGTGTTGACTTTCCAACGGAAATGTTCAACGCTCGAAATCAGAAATTAAAACTGCAAACAGCTGTGTTCGATGACTTAGAAAAATGAGAATAATACGTGTAAGAATACCCCAGTAAAAGCCAAAAAGCACAATTCTTCGATTTACGATATTTAAGTGAAAATGAGAGAAAAGAAACGGTTTTTTGCATCAAGTATTTACGTTGACTATGTTTTATTACACATTGAATAATTATTACACATTGAATAGTTATTACACATTGAATAATAAATAGAGCTTTTTACAAAAAACGACGTCAACACAAGCCAAGCAACACAAAAGAGTAATAAAAAAAAAAGCTACAGTTGTCCTTTTACATGATCGTTTAAATAATTCATTACTGCTTTAATATCATCAGGATAGTTGTATTGTAAAACTTGAAATATGACCAAAAATACCAGCAGAGGCCTTTGAAGGCCACTTGCTGTTGGTCCCACATTGATTTTAGTATTTGTTGTTAATTGAAGAGCAGCTTTTTCCCACGCATTTCCAGTAAAATATAAGCCCAATTGTCTTCCATGACCCTATAAAACAGAGATGGGTGATTAATTTAATTGCTTCTCGAAATATTACTTTTTTAAGTTCTTTCATTATAAAACATTTTGAACCTTGTTCGTTGCAAAGATCTTCAACAGCGGAAAAATCTGCTTGACTTTGCTAGAAGGCAGGCAGAAAATTGATTTTTTATGAAATCAAAAGAGATTAAGAGAAGAACACCTACACATTGTTGCGGAATTTTATATTTTTGAATCAAATCATCCAAAACTTTTCGCATAGCTAATTCAAAATTGGTTGAGTTGTTGTTTGTAGTTGTTTCTTCACATGTCAATAGTTGATGTTCATATAGTATCTTCAAAAGAGAAATCAAATCCAAGCAAATCGTCCACTTTTGGCTCTGGGAAACAAATAGTCGTTTTAAACTTTGTCCATGTTTACATACCACAAACTCATTAAGTAATTCAGGATACAGTGTAATCTTGTCACTTAATGAGGAGCTGTTATGTTGATTTTCCATTAATGATCGTCTGCTCAAAAAGGTCATCTGTTGTAATCGTTTAATATGATGAACAATGGACAATGGAATGTTGACATGTTTGATATTTCTTATTTGCTTCACTTTGTTACGCAATTCTTCTGTTAAATGTTGATAATTTCTTTCCATTGCTGAATTTGACATTGATTTTATCCGTGATAATGGATCTGGATTTTTCGGTATTGTACACGAAATGTTCATCGACTGAGTTTCTATATCATTTGATTGCCGGGCAGGAACAGTTTTTGCAGCAATTGCTCGATCTAAAAGAATAACACAGTGATCTGATAAAAAAAAATAATTTTTTAAATAACACTTGCTTCTTTTAGTCGTTAGTGAGATTTGTGACATGACGACGACAGGCTTTATTGTATTTTGATCGGAGTCTACAGCTACAAATACAACAGTACAAGTTAAAGAAAAGAGACGCAAAAAGTAAAGTCTGAATAGGATTCATCAATCTCTTTAACTCCTTTAAAGGAATCCTTTCTAAACCTGAAATATCATCCCTTTTTTCCCTTACTTGAAGTACGTAAGAATGGTTGTGAAAATGCTAAATTCGCTGCCACTATAAAAGAAACTGTCATTAGTATTTAGCAGACAAAAGATGAAATGTGCATACAAATGGGCACTCTAACGTTTTGATTATTTCGTTGAACAACGCGAATTACTGTTGGTCGTTGACCAAATGTTTGTTTATCACTTAGTACCCTGTCATTCATTTCTTCTGCCGTTGTTTGTATATCGCTAGATAGTGTATCATTTAGTTGCGTTTCATAGTTATTTTCATAAAAATTATCCATTAACGAAGCTTCAGTTGATAGTTGTTTGACTTTTTTTTTCACTCTCTCATAGAAACGATCATTCGGAGGAGTATAAATGGTCTGACGAGTTGACTGCAGACATTGTGCAGCTGAAGTTGACTGCGACAACAGTGCTGACATTGGTATTTGGATATCAGATAGTACGGGTCTATAAAAGATTCAGAAAATAGCAACATTTCCATAAAACTTTAGTGTGCAGCTAGTTACGTTAGCTGGTTCAGATGTGCACTGGAACCTTTTTCAACTTCTTCCATTGGTTCAGCAGCCATACGTGTGTAATGAGCTTGGTCTGCATTTTCTGCTTCTAAATTTGTTGTAGTTAAGAACGTTTGAATTTCCATTTCTTGTGTTCGTACTTTACCATCACACTGTTCCTATAAATAAACCAAAATGTACTTTCTTTATATACAAGATGCACACTGCTTTATACCAAATCAGCGACAGATCGTTCAGAATTATAAATGAAATTGAAATCATCCGCATTTGCCAATGAATTATCATCATACCTTCTAACATCAGCGTGACTTTTATCCTGCAAATAAACATAAATAAATCAATAAAACTGAAAGCTGTTGACTTAATTAGACTGAGCCCTGTACATTCATGCATGTATTTGTTGAAAGTATTCCTTTTGTCGAATTAAAGCAAATATGTTTAGCTGAACTTTGAGTAATCTCCTAAAACATAAATCGAATACGTAAACTGAAACAGGTGTGAAATATTTGTAGTTACATTTTCTGAATCAGTTAATTCTTTTTTTATATTATTTCTTCTTATGTTTCCATTTGTTTTTGAGTTATTATTATTGTTTCGTGTGCGTTTTGATAACGTTCCATCTTTGCGCTTTAGTTCAGTTCGGCGATTTTTAATACTTTTTGCTAAACGTGTTGAAATTTGTGTCTAAAAAAGCATTAGTGCAAGTAATTTTGGACCAAGATAGAAACAAAATCTGATTAAAGTAAACTTACTAATTTAAAATTGGGTTGACTTCCTACATTTGGATATTTTCTAACAATTGATAAACTGATATTTCGGTAATCGAGAGATGATTTTGTTTCTGGATAACGTTCCATGATGAAGTCTCGCGTCGAGCAAACAAAATTACTTTTGACTGCTTTTTCCAAATCGCCTGAAAATTGGCAAAGTATGCAAGTCTAAATGCATGAATACTAACAGAATGTACCTTCTTGTAATGCTTGTTCCACGTCTGTAGTATAAGTTGGCAACTGGCAATTCCATGGTACGCGAATAGGCTAAAGAGAGAAAGATGAATTATGGTATGTAAAGCGATTATGGTATGTATATACAGATTCTTTGTTTTCTGGTTTTGCTAAACAATTGTCACTTTTCTAAACAGAAACAGTTTTATTGAGCATGTATCATGCGATCAAAGAGCGAAAAGTAGAAGCTTACTTGTTTACTTTTACTGGGAGTTATATCGACTGTTGATTGATTAATATAACATGAGGATAATGCCGACGGTTCACAATTGTTTATCAAACTAAATGTGCTTGTTGTTAACGGATGTGTGCGACGTTTTGAAACAGGCGTTGTTGAAGTGCTCGATGGGGATCTATTTTCTTCATCTGATGCTGGTAAAATCATACTATCAATTGAAGATGACACAATCGGTGATATAACGTTGGCTCTTTTAGTTGCTAATGGAGTTGAAATTCTTTGTGACACGGGTGTCTGTGAGGAAATGCCATATTTGCTGTTCAATAACGGTGACATAAGATGAGTAGGTGAACTGGCTATTTGTTGTTTAGGAGATGATTGTATAAAATAATCTGTAATTGAAACGTTTTTTAAGCTTAAAATAAAGTGTCAGAAAGATTTTTGATACGAACCTTGCACATGTTTATTCTCTAGATGGTCACAGAGGCATTTTTGTTCTTGTTCTCCTTTTTTCTGTACAAAACGGACACATGGATCGACTTCAGTACATAGAATACAAATATTTTTTAGTAATGACATGTAATCGATCTATAAAAGAAAGAACATAGATGAGAAACGGT